TCTAATGAGTGGCTAATTGGCTTGGAAAAGACTGCCTTTAGTGAAAGAGACCTCTCCAAAGTTCTTAAACAGCTGTGCAAGACTATAAAGGGAATTAAAAATCCTAGATCAGAGAGAGGTTAGCAAGATTTTTTTCTGTAACAGCCAGAGAGTAAATGGCTTACGATCTCTGTTGGAATTCCAAGTCTCTCCTTATAGTGTGAAAGCAGTGCTCGGACTCTGCTCAGACTGCGAGAGAGGCCCACAAGGCCAGGCTGGCCTCACGGGGCTCTGTCCAAGCTCGGCTCTCCGAGCGAGGTCCAGGCGGCCAGAGCCCGGCCTAGCCTCAGAGTCTCTATTTTTCTCTCTCTGTTCTTCTCTCCTTTCTTCTCTCTAAAAATCAATAAATAAACAGCCCTAGCTGGTTTGGCTCACTGGATAGAGCGTTGGCCTGGGGACTAAAGGGTCCCAGGTTCGATTCCGGTCGAGGGCATGTACCTTGGTTGCAGGCACATCCCCAGTAGGGGGTGTGCAGGAGGAAGCTGATCGATGTTTCTGACTCTCTATCCCTCTCCCTTCCTCTCTGTAAAAATCAATAAAATATATTTAAAATAAATAAACAATTTTAGTTTAAAAAAAAGAAATAAACTTGTATCTTGTTCCTCTCTTTGTCTCCCCCCCTTTTTTGAAGCAATAGGGTTAAGACAGGGGTGGGCAAACTTTTTGACTCGAGGGCCACAATGGGTTCTTAAACTGGACTGGAGGGCCGGAACAAAAGCATGGATGGAGTGTTTGTGTGAACTAATATAAATTCAAAGTAAACATCATTACATAAAAGGGTACGGTCTTTTTTTTTTTTTAGTTTTATTCATTTCAAACGGGCGGATCCGGGCCCGCGGGCCGTAGTTTGCCCACGGCTGGGTTAAGATCTAGATTGAAGGGAGAGAAGGGAGGGGCTGAACAAAGGGATTTCAGAACAATACTGCATTTAAAAAAATATATATTTTCATTGATTTCAGAGAGGAAGGGAAAGGGAGAGGGAGATAGAAACACCAATGATGAGAGAGAATCATCAATCGGCTGCCTCCTGCACGCCCCCCACTGGGGATCAAGCCTGCAACCCGGGCATGTGCCCTTGACCAGAATGGAACCTGGGACCTTTCAGTCCACAGGCCGATGCTTTATCCACTGAGCCAAACTAGCCAGGGCTACTGCATTTTTAAAAATTGTTGGTATTACAGATGTTCCCCAGCCTTCCCCTTTTGAATACTGCAAGTTTTTATCCCACTACGGTAGATATTAAATTATTTCCATTTTATAAATAAGGATACTGAGGATAGAGAGATTAAGAAACTGGAGTTCTTGGCATAGAACATGGGAGTTAGAGCCAGAAACCAAGGCTGAAACTTGGGCATCTGTGTCTGCTGGTGGTATCCAGCTGTCTCTTCTTCTCCCCTATGTGGACAGTGCTGGGATCAGTCCCATCTCAGGCTTCTGGAGGGCCCTTAAGGTCTGGCTGTGCCCACCATGCAGCTCTGATCCTCGTTGATTCCAGCACTCTATGGCAGGAGAAATCACTGTCTTCCTGGTGTTGGGTGGTAGCACTGGGCTCTGGACAAACCTCAGCTCTATACTTACCTTGCTGTATGATCCGGGACAAGTATCTCCCCCCTGCCAAAAAGGAAAAAAAAAAAAAAGTCTCACTTTTCTCAGTTGTAAACTGAGGTATCTAATAGTAACCCAAGCACACGTTCACTGGGCCTGCTCTGGCAGACAATGCTAGAAGCTGGGAGTGCAAAGCGGAGTGAGACTGTCCCTATGTCCTAATGGAGCTGTGCCTACCTGGCATGGGAGAGGGCATACTGTAGGCATTCAGGGATGGAGGCTGTCTTGTGGTGCAGGATTTGCATGACCTGCTGCTGGCTTGCTCAGTGGTGTTTCCTTCTGATCAATGAGTGCCTTTGTCCCTAAAGGACTTGCTGTCTGCGGCTTTCTTGTCTCATCTGACAGAGGGCCCCAGAACAGATGGCAAAGCAGTTGGTATCCTAGGCTATTTTTGGTGGGGGAGTTAGTGGGATGTGAACATGGTGGGGCCCAGGTGGTCTCAGACACTGGGAGCTTCACAAGCAACAAGTTGGGGTGGGGGAAGGATGCTCCCTCCAGGATTTTGTGGGCAAATTCACGTACCTTTCACGACAGGGCCAAAGGCCATTTCCTCTGTGCAACTTTGTTAGATTTCCTCAATGGAGCACACACTCACTCCAAAGATGCAGGTTAAGAATCCATCCTCTAAGCGTCCCCCATTTCTTGATTATGGCTCCAAACATACAGAGAGATAGTGACCTAAAGGGATCTCATCTGATGCGTCTCTGGGCCGCTCCTGCTCTGAGCCCACCTGCCTCTCCCAGTTATCACAGGTAAGGAAGTTAGGAGTCCAGACTTTGGAATCACACAGCTGAAATCCACTCCTGGCTCCTTTCTAGCAGAATAACTGTGACCAAGTTTGTAAATCTGTTTTCTCATCCGTAAAACAGGTGATTATCGTGCCTGCCTCCCAGCAATTAAAGGCTTGCTCAAAGTACAGTGGATAGCTACCTGTGCAGGCCTATAGATGAGATATCTTTCACGCCAAGGCCCGCAAGGGGTTGTGGGCCCTCCATCCCTTTTGTGGCATTTCGCCTGTTGTGTGCGTGCCGGCCGGCGGGAGGGAGGTGTTCCTGGGCACCAGGGGGTCCAGAGGGGCCAGAAGTCACCCAGGGAGAAGAGAGTGGCCGGGCTGGGCTGGAAAAAAAGGTCTGTGACGCAGTGGCTTTCCGCGGCCTCCCTGCAGC